CACTTCTAGTAATCTATCATGAGGAAATGACCAGATGGATGGGTAAATATTTACATACAAGAATATCCACTATCACTATTTATAACCTAAATACAGAACAAAATGGAATGGTTAAGTGAATAAAGGTACAGTTAGATGTATAAGGTGTACTATGAAGCTATTACAAATCATGTTTTTAAGGACTACATAATATACTATAAAATGAGTAACAATATTAGAATAATCTCAATTTTGCTAAATTATTAATATGAATATACAAAGAAAAGGGGCAGGATGAAAAGGTAGTGATATATTAACAGTAGTTATCTCTAGGACATAAGTTTTATTCTATTCTTTATTTTTCTATATTTTCATAATTTTCTAACATAGTAGCATTTCTTTCATAATGAGTAAACTAAAGAAACTTTAAAAGTTGAGAAAAATAAGCCCAGTAATCAAAAAATGTATCAACTTTGATATATGATCATCAATTTCTGAAAACCTTTTCAATAACTTATGAAAATATGTAAAATCACAAACACTGAAATTGAAGAAACTTCATAAATGAGATCACCCATTTGTTCTTTAGATTTCTGTTCCACAGAGCTAGTATGCAAAATCTAGCTGGTATGCAAAAAATTGGGTGGTAAGTATGTACACTCAGTTGCTAAGACTTATTTATGATGATCAGTGATTAAAAAAAATCATGCTCTTTAACTGTTATTAATACAAAAAGTAAAAATGAACATTTATTTTCAGGAACAATAACCTTTAAATAGTATTTAAATTTTAATGGTATAAACTATTTGTCCATAAACAAACCACATTATTATTTAAATTTTTAGTTTTTTCTGGGCTTATAGAGTAAAGCCGGATACCCTCTGTGTGTACTGTGCACACACATTTGAGTGTGGTTGAGTGGCATGGTTTCCGCTTACTTTGTATTATCTCTTTTAAAAAATATACCATAGCTACTACTACTACCACTATTAATAATATTATTTATTAAGAGCTTACTACATGTTAATTAAGTTCACAGTACTTAGTACTTCTTAACTCCTATCATGAAGTATAATCTAATATCCTTACTTTAGAGATGAGGAAACAGCCATAAAGTGGTGAAGAAACCTGTGTAAGGCTACTCAGCTTGTAGGTGGCAGGGCTGGGATTTGGACCCTGGCCATTTAGCTCCAGGATCAAAGTTCTTAATCACCACACAATATAACTTCACATATTATCAACTACTATGAATAAAAACACAATATAAGATGGCAAACATCAAAATCACTCAGGACATGCTAGGTTGCAAAAGCACTCTAGAATACTGCAGATCAGAGAATCTAAAGTGATTTTTAGAATTAAGAAAGATAAACAAGAAGCAAAAAAGTAAAATTAGTTTCTCTAAAGGTTCTTTAGAGTGTGTATACAGAAAGTGAGGTATGGTGGGGACAGTTGCAAAAGTGTGTATTTCAGGAGAAACTGTTTGAAGCTAGGTGTCAGAAGGCCTGAATCTTAGCTCTGGTTTAATTTAATCTAATAAATAGCTTGACTTAGGAAAATTACTTAAGAAGGTAAGACCTTCTCTTATCTTCTGTGTAGAATTGAGAATAAATGAGAATACAGAAAGGAAACAAATCACCAATGAAAACCAATATGCCAAAGAGAGTACTGTTGTTAACTGCTGAGTGGGGATGGATGGCATGTGTCTCCACAGCACTCGTGAATGTGGTGTTCACATGTGTGTGGCAGGTGACTGATGTTTATGCCATTCTCCCTGTATACTTCCTACTCCAGGAGCTACTACAATTCAAAGCATTGTTTGTATTCTTCTCTTTATACCTAAAGCTAATGTGGCTTTAAGTATTCCTTTATCATTTTAAATTATTCCTAAGGTGAAATATTCATTTACAATTCTTCATATAATGAATTATATTCCTAAAGTTGATCATGTCATTTGGTATAAAATTATTTCAGAGTCATATAGTAGACAGAAAAATGACTCGCTAAAAGGAGATTTTAAAATGTACTATCTGAATTGTTCCCATGTAAACTATTAACAATATCAAATTATTGGAAACTGGATATATACACATTGTTATGGGTATTCTAAACCAGATGTTACATTTAAATATATACGAAAAACTCTAGATTCAGGATGACATGCTATGAAGACAAAATCTCTATGCTTCATAAATATAAACTAGTTGTTCATTGGCATTTTAATTTACGAAGTACATTTTACATTGGAGGCAAGTCAGTTCAGCCTTTCTATATGAAAATATAGGTGTCAATCTATGATTACTATAGAAGCAGCCCACATACCTTTTCTCTTGTTAGGAGCTGCAGCTCAAAGCCTAGGTGGCAAAGTGTCCCCACTGCAGCTTAAAGTACCATGTCAGGTCCTCAGAGTGGACCTTAGGGAACTGAACATCAGCATCCCCAATCATGGTAAGTTTCTACCACAAGCTCCTTTTTTTTTTTAGCAGCTTGAGGTATGTGGGAGCCAAGACAGGGTGGCTGCATTATTGACACACACAGTCTACAAATCCATCCCGTTTTAAAGAGATAATTTTTAACTTTAAAAGGAAGATTTATGTATTATATACTGTGAAACTATGTCACCCTGGTCATGCAATTCATGGTATAAAATAGCATAAGCAGCCTGGGCACAGTGGCTCATGCCTGTAATCACAGCACTTTGGGAGGCCGAGGTGGGTGGATCACCTGAGGTCAGGAGTTCAAGGCCAGCCTGGCCAACATGGTGAAATTCTACTAAAAATTACAAAAAGTAGCTGGGCATGGTGGTGGGCACCTGTAATCACAGCTACTCAGGAGACTGAGGCAGGGAGAACTGCTTGAACCTGGGAGGTGGAAGTTGCAGTGAGCTGAGATTGCACCACCGCCCTCCAAAGTGGGCAACAGAGCAAGACTCTGTCTAAAAAAAAAAAAACAAAACAAAAAAAGTGCAGGCATATTCACTCTGTAGTATGGGCAAATTCTCATAGCTGAAGATAATGGAGCAGACCTTTCCAGGTGGCGGTACCCTTCTGGGGAATAATAACACCTTGGATGCCCCTCTGGAGTGGAGTTTGTTACCAACTGCTGTTGATTTTGTTTGATTGCTCTACTAGTGGCTAACTGAACCTTCCAGGTCATGGCTCATTTGTTTTATTTTCCAGAGTTATTTAAATTAAGCATTTTAAAATTGTGTCATCAGTTTTAAAAAGCCCATTCTTTATGTTTATTAGATCAAAGTTAGCTTAGGCAATATTTGAACCTAGCTTAAAGTACATTTTTATCATATACTAATACTACAGTTTTAGATTGTAAAAGTAGTAATACATAAGCACCAGGCTGGACATGGGGGAAAAGATATACATACACACATATATGTAAATAATGTCATCAACCAAGATGGCTCTCAAATGATCTGTCCAGTCTATTTTAAAAACAAAACCTTTGAAGAATGAAGCAGCTGCCACTTCTTTTTGAGGAAATAATGCAGGCTTCATGATTAGGAAGTTTTCTCTTTGTATTGGATACATTTTCCTTTATGTAATTTTATTCATTACTTTTAGTTACCATTTTAGGTTATTTCTCAAAAATCATGTTTCCCTTTGCTATCTTTTAATTGCTTCTAGATTATTATCAAACACTGCCTCTTTTTTCTTCTTTTTCCCCTCCACTGTCTCAACCTATTCGTCATTATTTGACTGTTACCGATGGATTTGATATTTTTAATCTTTCATTATAAAATTTTTTTTCAATTTCAGTTGGTTTTTAAATTCTTACTTCCAATTATCTCTTATTTTTCTCATTCGTAATTTTTCATATTGCTCTTCCTTTTGGCCTGTCATTCAAAACAGCTTCACCCATCATGTAAAAGAAACTTCATTTAATTATTTCTTTTCAATTATAAGACTCTAAAAACATTCATGCAAAAGGATATATTGGTTTAATCAGCAATATTAAAATCATGTTCTTATGCAAGATAAACTTCAAATATTAAAATTGCAAAGCATCACCATTACAGAGAGCTTCTGGAGACACATAAAGCATGTTTTTCCTGTTACACAGAGAATCTATATAATTAACAAAAACTAATAAAAATAAAGGATAGAAAGAAAGCATTCTATTTAAACATAAGGAAAAAAGATAATATAGACAAAATCATGACATTTATGAATAGTAAAATCCACTCTTAGGGAAAAATGTATACTATGTAACAGTAATTATTTATTTTTTCATTTGTTTATGTATGTTATACATACGTATTTTCATTAGCTTGTTAAAACAGAATACCAAAAAAGTAAATCTGACTGTTCCTCAGTTATGTATATCAAACTCTACTTTCTGTTGAACTAGTTCCTTATAGAGTAGGACTTGAAGAAATTTCTCTTAACACAAGTAAGATTTTTTTTTTAAGGGCCGTAAGATGAGCATTTAATTAAAACACACACATCTGCACACACTTTCTTTAGGCTGCTGAAATATCAGGTCTTTAATTCCCCATTAAAACAACACAAAACCCTGATTATAAGTTTTCAAATCATTTGAAGATGTAAAAGGCTGTCTGCATTTCAGCTTAGTTCAAAGCCAGTAAAGAAATATCTCTTCTTCTTCCAACTAAAAGCATGTTTAGGAGAAGGATATCTGATAGAAGTGGTAATGCCAATCTAACCAATTTTAAAATATAAAGTGCTACTAGCAATATTTGGATACATATAATTTCAGAATAACGTTTTATAAACTTAAGCTTTGAAAAATAGAAACTATAAACCCCAACAAAAAAACTTAATTTGTAATTGAAAGAAAATAATATTTTGTAGAAAAAAGTGTCCTTCCAAAAAGAGACGAAAATGACTTTCATTTCCCAAGAGAATTATGCCACTTTTATACAACAAAATTACAGTCACCACTAATTGCTTTCAACAATTCCAATGCTTCTTCATTTGACCACTTGAAAATCAAAATTCTTTCATATTATAAATATAACTTTTTATAACTCTGTTATTACGTACTGTGAATGGGGAAAGCGGGCCAATCTTGTGGCTGTAGCGTCGAATGGCCTCTCTGATGTGGCAGGGCTGGATGGCATCGCTGTGAGCCTCAACACCACAGGCTGCAGTGCTCTGCGACAGAAAAACACATAAATTGTTACTAAATCAAAAACACACAACAGAACTACAGTGTATATATATGAAAATAAACCTTTACAAAAGAGACCGGTTTTTCCCTTAGGATGCACATCACTACTGCCATATACTACATCTAAAAAAGAATTCCATTAACAAATCAAAGATGACTTTTACATGACCCCTTCCAAGCAGACCTACCAAATGCAATTTTTATGCCCACAATATTTCACCTAAGTCTGCATGTCAAGACACAGGAGAATACAGCCACTTGCCTGCAGATAAAAAGTGTCATGAAAGCTTACTGAAAGAACCACAGGAAGTTATTTTTTTTTTTTTAAAAACATGTTAACATTTACTATTATAAATGTTTCTTAGGAGCTTCTTTGGCACATTTCTGAAATAACTTGTGGGTCATCAGCTTAAAATGAAAAACGTTAAATTGCTATACATTTATTTGTCATACCTGGGATTGTCATAAGACCGTTTCAACTTGGTTTCTAATTTTCTAGGTATCTCAGGACAAAACAAAAATGAAACCAACAACTTTCTGTTTTAATTTGCCGCATCTATAAAAGGCAGGTTTGCAAGCACAAAAAAACACAAGAAAGATAAGGATTATTTGTGATGAGAGTGTAAATACAAACTTAAGAAATTATAGATGTGTATATGTGTGTTCAGCATGATTTTTCAAAATAACTTATAGGGCTAAACCCTAGCCCTATTATGAGCTGGATACATATAATTTCAGAATAACGTATCAGAGCTGATTATGTATCAGCTCTGCCAAGATACATAATATCTCAGGTCTCAGTTTCCTCATCTGTAAATTGAGAAAACAATTATAATTGCTTGTAGGACTGTTGTGAAAATTAAGTAAGTTAAAATACATAAACCACTTAGAACAATGCCTGACGCATGCTAGGAAATTGTTTTATTTTTATAAAGAGATGATGTTTCATTTTGTCACTTAGGCTGGAGTGCAGTGGTGTGATTACAGCTCATTGAAGCCTCAAACTCCTGGGCTCAAGTGATCTCTGGCCTTAGTCTCTGAAGTAGCTGACACTAAAGGCAAGTGTCACCACATTTGGCTACTAAAAAAAAAATATTAATTTCTTTATAGATATGGTCTTGTTATGATGCCCAGGGTGGTCTTGAACTGCTGGGCTCAAGTGATCCTCCTGACTCAGCCTCCTGGGTAATGTTAGCTAGTAATAGTATTAGGTTATTCAAATCAAGTGTTAAAAATGGGAACTCTTCAAAGTATAGTGGGTAGCAGATGGCAGGTCATCAACATTAAAGAATCAACTTGCATATTACTATAACTGGGGTCTAGAAGTCATTTGTAGCCACACAATTAATATTATTTGTTTTTCTGATCATTACTATAATTTTTTGATAATTAATACATTTTTTACACTCATAATTCTTTGTAGGGAATATAACTCTATAGATAGCAACCTCTATGGATAGCAATTTGGCAAAATCTTATCAAAATGAAAAAGAACAACCTCTTTGACTCAGCACATTCACCTGTAAGAATTTATCCTACAGATGTATTGCACAGGTACAAAATAATATATATACATGAGGATACTTACTGTAGTACTAAATGTTCATCAATGAGGGATTGGTTAAATAAATTATGATACATCCATTCAAAGAAACAGAAACCAAAGCAACCACTGGAAAGAATGAGGCAGTTCCCTACAAACTCCTATGGAGTTATCTCTAAGATATTATATGAAACACTGATCAAAAACTGAAGTAGGAGGTTTACTATGGTAAGTCTTTGTGTTCCCCTAAAATTTGTACGTTGAAATCCAAGCCCACAAAGTCATGGTATTAGGATAAGAAGCCTCTGGGAATTGATTTATCCATGAGGGTGGAGCTCTCATGAATGGAATTAGTCCCCTTATAAAAGAGACCAGGGACAGACCACTCACCCCTTCTGCCATGTGAGGTTTGGGTAAACAGATGACTGCCTATGAACAAGGAAGTGGGCCTTCACAAAACACTGAATTTGCCAATGTCTTGATCTTGGACTTCCTAGCCTCCAGAACTGTAAGAAATACATTCCTACTGTTTATAAGCCAACCAGTTTACAGGATTTTGTTATAGCAGCCCAAATGGACTAAGGCAGAAGCATAAGTTAGAAAAACTTTGTGACTGCCATTTGTAAGATATAGAGACATATAAGCCAGCCTGGTTGAATCATGCTATTTTTGCCAAAAGGTGACAATAACTTATATTAAAATAAAAACATTGAATTTTGTGAAAAATGTCATTAGAGGTTCCATTTTGCCAGTTTCAGGTTTATCTGCCATAATTCAGCAACTGTTAACATTAGCATAATGAAGCTACTAGGTGCACTTTTATACTTTCTTGATCTACTCATTGAGTTCTCTGGAAGCAAGCCTTTAAATGTTATAATCCCAGTTTTTTTTTTCCACCTCAACAAATATCTTCACACACTCTGTCAACATCTAGTCCTTTATCAAGGTGCTAATAATCTGTTTGAATTAAAAATGTATCCCAAGTTTAGAATTTTTAATATAGTAGTGGTTCTAGCACAATATTCTTCAAAACTGTTTCAGAAGAATTACATATTTGTAATTGTAAATGTACATATTTGTTATTAATAATTTTATATCAGCTATAAACACATGTGAAGAGCATTATACTTATACATCAATTCATCTTTAATATCCTGATTAGGCCCAAATTTTAGGATACTCTTTAAATTTTCAAAAACTAAACCCAAATATTTGACAAAATACTGAGTCCTGTTTATAAAGTGTTTGCAGAAATCTCTCTGGGAACTAAACTCTGTATTTGTTTAAGAAAAGCACTAGTTGTTTGGAAAAGTTCTCCATATGTCAGGTCCTCTTCCTCTTGGCTGCATTCACACTCTATTCTTGTATCTTTCCATTTTTGTATTAATAGCTCTTCAACTAGAAACTGATGCTGGGTATCAGAAGTTGAAATAGCATACAGAGTTCTACATATTTTCTGGATTTGACTATTGTCTCTCTGTTTTTCTTTGCTGGTTTACAATGAACAAAATCTCTTAGCAGTTTAAACTCTCAACTGTGGTACAGGAAGTTATACTGAAACTCAGGTTGCCCCTGGATCTCTCACTGAGCCTTTTCCTCCCAACTTAAAAGTTCTTGGCAGTGTAAGTGTCCTATCCTTTCTCAGCCTTCCCCTTACCAGAGTCAGTGTTTAAGAAGGATCTAGAATTTCATTCAATTGCATCTTATTCTTTCCACATCTATAATGGTAAACTAGATCTTTTGCTAAATGTAAAATCTTCAATAATTATAGAGAAGTAACACTCACCTCAGACTAGAGCAACTGAAAGGCTAGTACTACTATCACTCACATTTTGTGGACCACAAAAGTTGATATGATCTGGCCAAGGAAGTATCATCTTTCTCCTGTTATACATATAGCTCCTCCAAAGTTTCATCCTTATGGAGAATTTTTTTCACATGAACGTGGGCCATTCATTGGCCAAAGGATATAGTGTACGACATGTAATTTTCTCATTTAAAAGTTTGAGATGGTAACTGTTAAAATGTAGTTCTTATATAACTAGAAAAAGCTTTTCTTTTATTTGTATAAATGTGTACAGTACAAGTGTGATTAAGTTACATGCATAGATTACAGAGTGGTAAAGTTAGGGCTTTTAAGATATCTATTTCCTGAGTAACATAGTTACCCATTAAGTAATTTCTCATCATCTGCCCCTACTTACTCCCAACGTTCCAAATCTCCGTTGTCTATCACTCCACACTCTACCTCTATGTGTACACGATTTAGCTCTCACTTATAAGTAAGAACATGCAATTTTGACTTTGTTTCTGAGCTGTTTCACATAAGATAATTGCCTCTAGTTCCATCCATGTTGTTGTAAAAAATATTATTTCATTCCTTATTTCTTTTTTGAGACAGCATCTTGCTCTGTCCCCCAGACTGGAGTACAGTGGTGCGATCTCGACTCACTGCAGCCTCTGTCATGCTTAAGCCACCCAAATAGCTGGGACTACAGGCACACCTGCTGCGCCTGGCTAATGGCCCATAATTTACAGTTGGCTGTAAAATAAGGTTTTATTTCTGGGTTACCTACTCTCCTCCATTGATTTATGTATCTATTTTTATATCAGTAGAGTCAGGGTTTTGCCATGTTAGCCAGGATGGTATCAAATTCCTCACCTCAGGTGATCCATCTGCCTCGGCTTCCCAAAGTTCTGGAATTACAGGCATGAGCCACTGCACCTGACCCACTCTTTTCCATTTCTGAGTATTACTCCATTGTGTATACATGCCACATTCTCTTTACCTCTTCATCTGTTGATGGAAACTTAGGTTGACCGCATCTTTGCTAAAGTAAATAGGGGTGCAAATAAACATATGAGAAGAAGTATCTTTTTTATGTAATGATTTCTTTTCCTTTGACTAGATACCTGGCAATGAGATTGCTGGATTGAATGATAGTTCTATCTTCAGTTCAGAAATAGCTATACTGGCCCAGCGCAGTGGCTCATGCCTGTAATCCCAGCACTTTGGGAGGCCGAGGCGGGTGGATCATGAGAAGCCAAGTGTTTGAGACCAGCCTGGCCAATGTGGTGAAACCCCGTCTCTACTAAAAATATTTAAAAAATTAGCCCGGTGTGGTGGCGCTTGCCTGTAATCCCAGCTACTCGGGAGACTGAGGCAAGGGAATCGCTTGAACCTGGGAGGTGGAGGCTGCAGTGAGCCGAGCTCGCGCCACTGCACTCCAGCCTGGGTAACAGAGCAAGACACCATCTCAAAAACAAAACAACAACAACAACAACAACAACAAAAATTCCATACTGTTTTCAATAGAAGTTGTACTAATTTACACTCCCAACAACAGTGTACATGAGTTCCCTTTTCTCCATATCCTCACCAACATGTTATTTTCTCTTTAATAATAGCCATTCTGATTGGTGGAAAATAGCTCATTGTGG